GCCCCCGCCCCTCCCCCTGCGAGGCCTAGGCGGCTTCTCACCCTTGCCCTCCTGGCGGGGGCCCGTGTCGGGGGGGTGGCCCCCACTGCGTGCCTCGGGCGCGCGCGCGCGGCCGCGGCCGCGCGAACGGCTTCGTCTATTAGACATCGAGCCGCGAGCGAAGCGAAGCGAAGGAGGAAGGGGAGTAGGAGGAGGAGGAGGAGGAGCAGGAGGAGGAGGAGGAGGAGGCGGAGGAGGAGGAGGAGAAGGAGGAGGAGGACGTATAATGCGGGAGTGATAGAACTCGACAGGATGGCGTTGAGGGCGAACGAGTTCCTCAAAGATACCAAGAAACACCTGAAGAATGCACTCAGAGAAGACAAGGCGAAGCTCATCAGCGACACAGCGGCTGAAATAGTGGACTACATCCAGCAGAACAAACACGAGAGAGAGTGGAACAAGGTGGACATGATCCTCAAGATGAGCGGCAGGAAAAATAAGAAGTTTGCCGGAGGAGGACGACTACCACTTAGAGAAAATGTCAATGGAGAACCAGCTCAGACGCAAGAAGAAGCGGATGAGGCAATGCTGAGGCACTTTGCGAAAGCCGAGGACGCGGACATCATGAGCAAGACAGAGGTGGAGGAGCTATACAATAAAAGAAAGAACGACTACGCGGAGATCTTCATGCAGGACATCGAGACCGTCCCCACCAGATATGAGATACAGCGGAGCTACAAGACAGCCAAACGGAGACGGGCAGCTGGACCAGATAACATACTGGACGATGTGCTAAGAGCCACAGCTAAGTCCTCAGCAAGATGGTGGTACCCAGTATACCTCAAAACGGCGCTATATCTACAAGAACCCATTGCATTCAAGGAGGCTACATTGTGTGGGATACCAAAGTCAGGACCTTCAAATTGGAAATGGGAACACTTCAGAAATATATGTTTGAATAATGTTGTGGGGAAACACTATCACAAATGGCTGAGGTCGGCGCTGGGAAAAATACTACACCACATGATCAGAGACACGCAAGTTGGAGGGAGAAGGGGAATGGAGCACCAATGGCTGGACACCTCATCAGGACAGCTGTATCACTTATTGCAAAGAAAGGCAAGTCAACACTCATCATATATGTGGATTTAAAGAATGCTTTCTATATGATTGTTCGGTCGATGGGAGTGGCAATGGACCATTCCGAGGAGGACATCGAGGAAATACTACAGAGAAGTACGATACGACAACAATTCCAACCGCTACTAGAGATAGCACTAGCAGCACCACCAGCTGTACAAGGACCACAAGCACCAGCACCGCTATGGGCAATGCTATCAGAGTCGGCGAGGGTAACATGGTACCATCCACCGACGACAGACCTGGCAGCGGTGGCAAAGCGAGGCGCGAGAGCAGGCAATTCAATTGCCGATTTCTTCTTTAATGTCATATATCGGAAGCCGCTGGACGAGATCAACGAGCACATGAGGGAAATGGGGGTACTGCATAATATCGGATATGAAGTAGAACGTACATACACAAACGAGGAGGACACGACCACAGAGATCACGGATGTCAGCTACGTCGACGGCACGGCAATACCTACTGTGGTCGCAGATAACCAAAAGATAGAAGAACACATACAGACGGTATTCCCCCCAGTTCATATTACAATGGTAAAGTACGGTTTCGAGCTCTATTACAAACCAAGGAAAACGGCGGATAGGTTACACCTGGCAGGGCCAAACTTGATGGAGGCGAAGCGGAAATTCAAAAAAGAAGGAGGAGTAAAGGTGAACATCGAGAGCATAAACGAGTCAGGGACAGTGGTGGCAGCGTACAAACATCTCGGGGTGGAGCTAACTGCGGACAACACATGGCAACCAGAGATACAGAGGCGCGCCATTTGCCACAAGCAGGAGATGAAGAACTTGAAAACGATATGTACGAACCCAAAGATCACGGCAAAGGACAAGCTAAAGTATACGAAGAGCTATGCGAACAGCAAGTTATCACGGCAAAGCGAAACATGGCCGCCGATGCCCAAGATGGCGCAAAAACTCGCAGACACAGCATATGGAAAAGGTATTAGACAAGCTTTAGGACAAAAGACCAGACCGAAAGAAGCGCGCACGACGGAGCCGATAACAGACAAGGGACTGTACGCGAAGGCAAAGACTGGGAATCTGGCAACATTACTCAGATACAGGCGGCTACGTTGTTGGAAAGCAATCATAACCAGCGGCCCATCGGTTTTAAGACGCGCGCTCGACGAGTTAGACACTATTACGAGAACGAGAACCTGGACGTCCATGATAGAGGAGGACCTACTATGGCTGGCAGGCCTTACCGACACGGACACGGAACAAAGAAAAGGAAACAAATAATGGATTCTACTGATCAGAAACGAGGGCAAAGAGTACGACAGAAGGTGCAGAGAAGCATGGAAAACGCAGATGGACAAAGACGCGGACGAGGCAAACGAGGACAAATGGAAAAGAAACTGGCAGATACTATTAAAGCAGATGGCAGTCAAACCATGGAAAGAGTTGGAACATGATGCACAGTATATATGCTACGAATGTGGTTTGACAACAGCAGATATTGGAGCGTGGAAACGACACAGAAAGAAACACATGCCAGTCGTGCGGAAAGGATTTTCAAACAAGACCGAGATTGATAATACACTTACGGCACAGATGCAGGGGATGTCTCAGATGGTACAACAAATTTCAGCAGCCCATGCAATACGAAGAGGCTTGGGAGATGTACGACAGGGACATGGAAGAGACAAGAAGAATGAAACAACGAGGCCATAGACCTGAGAAAGCATTGGTACCATGCACCAAAGTAGACAGGGCAGAGCACAGCGACGACCAGAGAGACGAAGTGGGCGGAGCTGAAACAAGCCAAGAGGGTGACGACATACTGGCACCTCAAATTCAGCCAAGAGGAGAATGGATGGAGAGAACTACGGAGATTCCTGACATGGCGAACCAGAACCAGCAGTACGTGCTGTACGCTACATCGGCAAGAAGAAGAAAAGGAGACTACATGGACGCCATGGAGCAGGAGATCAGCAAGGCAGCGAACACGGAGGACGACTGCAGCATGATCGGCATGGCTTGCATCCAGCTGAGTGAGGAGATGGTCAGCAAGTGGAGAGACAACGTCGACAAAGGCATCGTGGCAGCGGTAATGATAGCGACACCGACGGGTACACAGACAGCGGAGTGCAGAGATGGCGACAAGCCATGGGGAACATGGACGGCCACTACAACGAGAAGGAGAACGATGCTCATCGAGGAGAACGACCAGATACGGAATGGAATACTGCTGGCGGGCCACGCGGCGTTGCAGAACATCCCCGTGATCCTCGAGATCAGGCCGCCGATCGCGAACACGCCAGAGGTGACAGAGCTTCGGGATCTGGCGGCCTGCCAAATGCTGGAGCTCAGGGAAGTGATGAGTAGCTTTAGAGCACGAGCAGCGCGCACACTCCTGACGACAAACCTGCCAGGGGTATGCGACGTTTGCCAGGCCAGGACAGAGAGAAGTATATCTGAATGTATAGTCAAGTCCTGGGGGGGGAGACATAGCTGGTCCAGGGAGCCAAACGACCCTGGACCTGACTGGGCTGATTTCTGGCCCCTCGACCCATACCCCCCCAGGACTAACGGTTGCCTCCGAACGGAGGGCGTAGCATGCCGCAGCTGCGAGAGCTATGCGAGGCGGAGTCGGTAGCGACTGGCCACACTACCGACTCCAGTGCCGATGCACACCCCTAGCCTCTGGGTGCCTGTTCCTCCCCTCTCCTTCCTTTGATCACGATCGATTCGTTTCCCTCCTCGTCCCCCTCTCGCCGAGCGAACCGACCGCGAGTGGCCGCCGCTTGCCGCTGCCGCTGCTGGCCGTACAGCTGGCCCGCCTAGCGCGCCCTGTCGCGGGTGCCATGGCACCCGTATCGGGGTGCGGTCGGGCTCTTCCCGAACCGCGCGGCGACCCGCCCCATGCGCTGGGAACAGAACAGGAGGAGGAGGAGAGGACGAGGACGAGGAGGAGGAGGAGGAGGACGAGGAGGAGAAGGAGGACGGCGGCGGCGAAGGCGACGAAACGGAGAAGGGAGGAGGGGGTGGGGAGAGGGAGGGAGGGAGAAGGAGAGGCGAGGACGGGACGAGGACAAGCAGACGGAGCTCGCGCCAGATCTGGCAACCCTTCCCAGTGCGCGGCTGTTGCTCCCCTGTCCGCCGACGCGTGTCGCAGTGGACCCGGAGCTCCAAAAGGACCCTGCCGTGCTATGCGCCATCGGAGAAGGGGAGCCTCGTACACTAGGGGAGGAGTTGGCGGGTGAGCAGGAGGATGGGCGGGAGGAGAGGGGAGGACGAGGACGAGCAGCAGAAGCGGAAGCTGGAGCGGGAGCGGAGCATGGAGCAGGAGGGCCAGGGGAAAAGGCGGTGGAGGGGAGGGGAGGGGGGGCGACGACGACGCAGCAGGGCTCGGATCCAGAAGGGTGTGGCCCACGCTGGGGCGAGAGCGCCGTTCTAGACTGCAGGGGCCCACAGACACACAAATAAATACACACAAAGAAGATAATTCCCATAGTTTCCTGCATTTTCTGGGTTTCTGTCTTCCCCCCCCACTTCCCATATTTTCCCATATTTTCGGAGGAATCGACGATTCATTGTGTCTGTGTGTTTTTTCCCCTCCAGATAGCGCTCCGAGTGGAGGAAAAAAACGTCAGGAATATCAGATCATGAAATCCTGTGCAAAAACCGATGCGCGGAGAGGGCGGGGCATCTTCTGGACAGAGTCCGGAGTGAGAGGAGAGCAGCACGCAGACTGCGCGAGGCTTGAGGAGGAGGAGGAGGAGGGGGCCGAGGAGGGGCAGGGGGGACGGGGAGGGAGGGGGAGAGACGCTGCGAAAACGCCCACGCCAGACAAGCAGCACGAGGTGGCCGCGCGACGGACGAGCCCACTGGCCAGGCCGAGGGCACGAGCGAGGAGCGGCATAGGCAGGGGGCCTGGACGGAGCGGCCCGGGTCCCGAGGCCTCCGTGGAGGAGCAGCAGAGCTGCAGGACCGTGGCTTCTCGGCGGTCCGCGCGGATGTCTTGAGATCCGCGCCGGGCTCCCCGCCGCTAGAAGGTCAGGCTTCCGCCTGGGATGAGGGCGGGAGGAAGGCCAAGGGGGGAGAGGGAGAAAGAGAGAGAGAGAGAGGACAAAAGAGAGAGAGAGAGAGAGAGCAACAAACATAGAGAAAGAGAGAGACAGAGAGGGAAACAGCAAAACGAGAGAAGAGGGAGGAAGAGAGGAACAAACAAGAGAGGGAGAGGGAGCGAGAGACAGAGGGAGAGAGAGAGAGGGGGAGAGATTGAAAGAGGGCACGAGAGGCGAGAAAGAGGGAGAGAGACAGGGGAGGACAGGGAAGTTTAGGGGGGGAGGGGGCAGGAAGAGCAGGAGGAGCGGTAGGTTCTGCCCCCCGTCGCTCCCGCAGCCGCCCTCCCGCATGGGCCAACCCAGGCCCTCCAGCCGGCGACCAACACGCAGGCACCCTTACACCCACACTGATCGGCGGGCGAGCCCCCTGGGGAGGAGGAGGAGGAGGAGGAGCAGGAGGAGGAAGAGGAGGAGGAGGAGGAGGAGGAGGAGGAGCAGGAGGAGGAGGAGGAGGAGGAGGAGGGAGGAGGAGGAGGGGGAGGAGGAGGAGGAGGGAGGAGGAGGAGGAGGAGGAGGAGGAGGAGGAGGAGGAGGAGGAGGAGGAGAGGAGGAGGAGGAAGGAGGAGGAGGAGGAGGAGGAGGGGGAGGGGCAGGAGAACCAGAGTGGACCCAAGCTGCATCAGCGATTCTGCACTGGGCCCTCCCGTCCCGAGTCCCCTCCTCGCACGTCTCCAGAACAGCACTCCGTTCGGCTCGCTATACGCAGCGCCCTCCCGCGGGGCCAGCACCCTGCGGGCCTGCCATCCAGGCGAGATCCTCCCTGTTTGGGGCGCATTGTCAGGAATGTGAACAATGTTTGTATTCGGCGTTTCGGAGGTTGATAAACCTCCTACCCTGGCACGTCGATTAGCGTATTGGCCGTTTTCGGTTCGCGAGAGGGCGTCGCGGTCGTCACTTTTGCGGGTCCAGGTCCAGTGGATTCGGTCCCAGGCCGTCTTCACTACAGGGTGGTTTACAAAAGGGAGGTTTGTCCACCGCCGAGCGCTTCGACACTGGGCGGAAAGGGGGGGAGGTAGGGGGGGGGTCTGGCTCCGGACCTCTGCTTAGTGCGACTGGTTGGAACCGTGCGTCCTACGGGGGAGACTCCACCTGCTCGAGACAGGCGCCCAAAAGCAGCCAAGATCCACTCCATGGGGGGGGATGGGGGGGGGGGGCCCGCGCCGATCGGTAAGACAATGAGTAAAAAACCGAGCCCGATGCGAAAAGGTACTGTTATATGCTTCGACGAGGTGTCCAGCGACACGCGGGCACCCTTACACCCAGACTGATCGGCGGGCGGGCCCCCTGGGGAGGAGGGGGAGGAGCAGGAGCAGGAGGAGGAGGAGGAGGAGCAGGAGGAGGAGGAGGAGGGGGAGGAATAAAAACCCGAGCCCGATGCGAAAAGGTGCGGTTCTATGCGTCGACGAGGAGTCCAGCGACATCCCCGTTGTGGGAAAAGGACCGCCCCCTCCACGCAGCTATTGCACAACAGTCTGCGCCTATGGCCCCTGTTTGACTGAAAACAAATCTCGCGCGAGAGCCCCATCTTTGAGGAGGCGCCGCCCTTGCTCCGTGCAGCTGGTCCCTGCTCTCTCCACCGCCAATGCCACATTTACTACCTCACCAGGTGCAACGCGAAGATGATCTGCCCGAGGCGCATCCAACAAACCTGATATTGCCACGAAACCCGACCTTGGAGGAAGTGAAAAAAGGGAGCCTGGGCAATATGCAGGGCTCCAGGGCCCCTTCGGGTCATCCTGAGGTCCGACTGGTCGTGCATGAGAAGTTGTTGAGAGGGGATCTGCCCGAGGCGCACCCAACAAAAAACAGTGCGCCGCGCCGAAGAGAGACGAGGGGGGAGCGGAGCAGAGGAGAGAAGGACGGGCAAAACGAGCTGCGGCGGCTGCTGCGGATCACCACACAGCGTCCACGCCGACTGATCTCGAGCACCTGGTAGAAAGAGGACATCCTGTTGCAACACTGCTGCAAAAGTGTAGCTGATACATGCACTAAATATCCGGGTCTTCTAATTCAAGGAAGTCTCAGCCGAAAGTCGTCCTCCGTCCCTGAAACTGTTGCAAACGTTTAAGACGAATGCGCGCGGCGCTAAAGGTGATAGCCCATGTTTAAAAGGTCCACCCTCGATCATTTCAACAGCTGCAAGCGGTTAAAACAAAATGTGCGGCTTGAAGTCGAGAGCCCCATTTCGGAAACGACATGTGCACCATCCTTATAACTGCTGCAAGCGAGAGCTCCATCTTGACAAACGCGCGCAGCGCTACAGCGAGAGCTCCATCTTGACAACGGCCCCACCTCCATCCGTGCAATGGCTGCGAATTACGGGGTTCGGGATCGTAAGACGCCAGGCAGGCTCACCAACATGTCTAGGGGTGCGACGTGGAAGAGCCATCTACCATGCAAGAGGATGCAGGAGGCCGACCAAGACCCCGAGGCTGCAACGTGGAACCCCAGGGGCCCCGACCCCTCCCCGCGGGGCCGGCCTGGTCATCTCGACCCGTGTTTGCTTGTTTCGTCCCGAGGCCCGGTGAAGGTCCCCGGACTCCTCCTCCTCCTCCTCCTCCTCCTCCTCCTCCTCCTCCTCCTCCTCCTCCTCCTCCTCCTCTTCTTGGCGTTGCGGAAGGGGGGTAGGGGGAGGGGGAAGGCTTCTTAGAAGGACCGAACACTGTCACAAACCACCAGTCGTCGTCTGTGCACGACGGGAGGAGCCCTCTGGGGACGACGACTGCAGCGGAGACGAGAAACGCCTATCGCCGTTCAGGGGGTTCCGCAGGTTGTCGACCTGCGCGCGGGCAGGGCGCCGCCAACCGCTTCCCCTTCCGCCCAGGCTGGCACCGCTGGACGGACCAGCCCCACTCCTCGAGGCACGAGAGAGCCCAGGATCGAGTCAACGTGAGTCGGATCGGCGGTCGACGTGAGTCGGATCGGCGGAAATCGGCAGCCGAGTCGGAAGAAGTCGAAGCGGCGGAAATCGGCAGGCTTGTGCGCGTGCAGTGAGAAATCTGAACCCAAATCGGAATCCCAAGCCGAATCGGATCGGAATCGGCATCCATCGAAATCGAATCGAGCCGAATCGGAGGAATCGAAATGAGCCCTGCTCGAGGGGAGCGAGTAACACCGCGGCTGGGCGTGTCAGCTGTTCGTTGCGACGTTGGCGGCTTGCCGTGCCCACTTTGACAAAATATTGAAGATACAACTCGGCAAACAGCTCAAACTGCAAGTATTGTTGCCAGATCATTTGACTACGTCGGGAGAAAATATGTTGGCGTGTAGAAGACGCTGTGGTCGTTGTCCTCGTGGCCGTTGTGGTCGTCGTCGTCGTCATCGGTCCAAATGACATAAGGGAACAGAGGAAAGGAACGTCGCAGCTAAGCCGCAGGAAAACCTCTGCCCTCTATCCCTTCCCTGCCCGGGGTGGAGGGGATCCTGGGTCAGAGCACTGCCCCCCCGGGACCCTGGCGAGTCCTGGAGGGGGTCGCCAGCGGGGGCCCCGGGGGAGGCCCTGCCTGCAGGCACGGAGGCACCGGCCGAAAGGCTCTCGCAGGTTTTGATCAGCCCTCGAAGCCACGCCAATGATTGATCGATCCGTTATTTGTGCTCGCGCCTGCGCACGCGTCGAGGTCTCGCTACCCAGAGATCCGATGTCGTGATTTTTTCAATGCGCGGTCCCTGGAAGTCTCGACCCATTCCCCAGCACTGGTGTTTCATCCCGAGTCGTTTTTTGACGGTCCCGAGGCCCGGCGAGGCCCCTAGGGGCCGATATTTCAGAAAAACCTGCGTCTTGATTTTTTCGATGCGTTGGATCTCTGGGTAGTTCAGAACCCAAGCTGGTTGGTCGGCCGCCGTGATCGGCAGCCAGAGAGACCATCGCCGGAGGCATGGCTGAAAAATGAGCTCCTCCCCTCGACTCGGGCAGGCAGGCGCACTGATTTCTCGAGAATGGCGTACGCAGCTTCCCTACCGTTCGGTCGCACGTAGCTCGACTCTGAGGCGGCGGACGAGGAGAGGAGGGAGGACAGATTGCAGCGCTCGGTCCAGCGGCGGGCCCAGAAAAGGGGAGGGGGCCAGAAAGAGAGAGGGAGGAGAGAGGGAGCAGGGGGAGGAGGAGGAGGAGGAGGAGGAGGAGGAGGAGGAGGAGGAGGAGGAGGAGGAGGAGGAGGAGGAGGAGGAGGAGGAGGAGGAGGGGGAAGAGGAGGAGGAGAGAAGGAGCAGGGGGAGGAGGGGGAGGACGAGGCAGGCCATCTTGCCGCGCCCGGGGGCCGCCTCCCCGAACGGGAGGTCGTGCAGCCTGGCGCGCGGCGCGGACTGCTCCTCCTCCTTTTCCTCCTCCACCCATCTTCCTTGCAGATAACTCCTCCCCATCGCACCCCCAGACGTGTTGGTAGGGCGGGCCGTGCGGTTCGCTTGAAGGTTCCTCGCCAGATTTGGCCCTGCAACTTGAAATTTACAACAAATTTAAGGATATAGGGCCCGTTTTCAAAATGTGGCTCTCGCCTTAGCGCCGCGCACTTTCAAATGTGGATCTCGCCTTAGCGCCGCGCACAATCGTCTCAAAAGGCTGCAGCAATTTAAATGATGAACGTCGATTTGCTTTCACAATGTGGTTCTCGCCTTAACGCCGCACACATTCGCTTTGCTTGCAACCTTTTCAAGGATTCGCATGGTCGAATGATGTCCTGGCATGATTTAGGACTGTCAGGACGTAACAGCCACCTTGGTTCGCGGTGTTGAAATTCCTGGAACGGCCCTCTAGCACGATTTAGGATTGCCAGGACGCAGCAGTAATGATGATTCGCAAGGCTGACGTCCCAGAAATTGCGTTTTGACACGATTGAGGGTTCTCTGATGGTTGTCCTCCAGTGTGGGCATTTCCCGCAGTGAAAATACGTTTTTGCAGGGCCCTGTGAAGAGGGAACTGGGAGGAAGGGTTTCTGGCAACATCGTTGATACGTCCTGAGTTTGCACCTCCTCCTCCTCCTCCTCATACTCATCCTCATCCTCATCCACATCCTCCTCCTCCTCCTCCTCCCTCTTCATCCCTCTTCATCCTCCTCCTTCTCGTCCTCATCCCTCTTCCCTCGTCCTCATCCTCCTCCTCCTCGTCCTCCTCCTCCTCCTCCGGGATAGACTGACAGCTTGGGCCGCCGCACTCCGGCGCAAGTCCAAAAAAAGCTGCTGCAAGGTAGGAGACCCTCGCCACTAGCATTCCCACCCGCTCCTGAACCCTCCCACGCGATGGATGTTCCAAATCCTGGCATTCATCGTGACTTGATAGTCGATCGATCAATCGACCGATCGGTCCGTGTGCGACAGCTGCTTTAGAAGATGGTGGACCTGCGATATCCGACGACGACGACGACGATGACGATCTTGAGGGAGATGAAATGAGTTCTGGAGTTCTTGGCAAGTGGCGGTGTCCGAAACTCCTGCGGCGAAGAACGGAAAACGGGGCGGTTAACCCGAAGAACCTCGGGGAAACGGGCAACGTAGCAATAGAAAGCACCGGGGGTCGGGAACCCGAGGAACCCGAGGAACCCGAGGAACCTCCCAGGAACGGGCAAAGTAACACTAGGAGGCACCAACCTTTAACCAAGTAAAAAACCCTCAGGCAAGCCTAATTTGGGATGACCTGTGCCTCCGCATAACCATCTCCATTCCCCAATTAGGCTTGCCAAAAGGGTTCTTGCACGGTCAGAGGTCGGTGCCTCCCCTTGTCACTCTGCCCGTTCCTCGGAGGTTCCTCGGAGATTCCTCGGGTTCCTCGGGGTCCCCGCCCAAAAATGCATGCTATTGTTCGGGGGCGGCCAAGAGGGGGGCGTCCAAGAAGGGGGGGTGCAAATCATGACTGGCGGCATGTGCGCGGCCCAGCGGTGGGGCCAGGGACGTAATGAAATAAGAAGAGGCGCCATGAAATCTGAGGAGATATCATGGCCCACGCCATGATATCCACCCCCCCTAGTCATCACCCCCCTCTTTGCCGCCCCCGAATTGTTACGTTGCCCGTTTCCCCGGAGCTTCCTCGGGCTCCCCGGCTCCTCGGGCTCCCCGCCCCTGGTGCCTCGTGCTCTTACCGTGCCCGTCCCCCGGAGGCGCCTCGGGTGTCCCAGGAGTTCCTCGGAGGCTCCCCGCCCCCAGTGCCCCGTAGTCTTACGCTGCCCGTTCCTCGGAGGCTCCTCGGAGGTTCCCCAGGTTCCTCGAGTTGCCCGCCCTGGCTGCTCGTCCTGTTTCCCAGCAGTGCCGGGCCACACCAGGCAACGTCAAGCAACGCCAGGCAGTGCCAAGCCGTGCAAAGCAGCGCCAGGCAACGCCAAGCGGCGCTAAGCAACGGCAAGCAGCGCTAAGCAACGCCAAGCAGTGCAAAGCAACGCTAAGTAATGCCACGCAACGGCAAGCAGCGCCAAGCAATGCCAAGCGATACAAAGCAATGCCAAGCAACGCCAAACGATGCAAAGCAATGCCAAGCAGTGGCAAACAATGCCAAGAATTGTCAAGCAATGCCAAGCAACACCAAGCAACGCAAAGCAAAGCAATGCCAAGGAATGCAATAAAATGCAAGGCAAAGTAATACAATGCCAAGCAATTCCAAGCAACGCCGCTCAGGAAGCGTTCCCCTAGTTGGGGTCGCACCGAGCTCATATTCTGCACGTGCAACCAGACTACTGTATGCAAATACAAAAAACTATCATTATGCAAGTCGTCTCATCCCAAGGCAACCCCTGGGAGCCCTTGAAAGGATCCCTTGGGAACCTCGAGGGAAGGGAGGGCGAGCGCTCGCCATCACTCGGACGCCCATTCCTCGGTCATTCTCCGAGGTCGTGCGTGTTTTTTTTCGCTAAGTCATCCGGGATGCTCCTCCTGGGCATTTTCTCTTAAGGTGGAGGGCTCAGGGTGAAATCCATATGGGCTTTCGCACCTCGGAAATCAATCCGTCTTGTGATTCACCTTTTACAGATTCAAGCCGCGAGCATCCATCGAAACGGCATTTCAGATTTCACCCTCTGCCCTCCACCCGAAGAAAATGCTCGGTCCTCCATGGTCCTCGCCGAGGAAAAAATGCACACGCCCGAGCGATGCCAAGAGGGGGGTGAGCACGGGGAGCCCCCCGACCCGGCTGCCGCCGCGGCCCCTCTCCCCTCGCGTCACGACGCGGGCAGCGCCCTCGTGCATCCGGGCTCGCGAAATCCCCCCCCGAGTCGAAGGGGAACTGGGGCACACAACTAAATACACACAAATGAAAATATCCCCCATATTTTCCCATATTTTTGGGGTTTCTGTCTCCCCCCCCCACTTCCCATATTTTCGCATATTTTCTGGGGAATCGACGATTAATTGTGTCTGTGTGTTTTTGTCCCTCCTGATTCACGACGCGGGCAGCGCCCTCGTGCATCCGGGCTCGCGAAATCCCCCCCGAGGGAGCGGCGTGCCACGAGGTCTGGCGACGGTGGCGACTCCAAAAGATCCATACCTCCCCTGACTGCCTAATTACCAGACCGCCCCAACCCGACCCGAAGACCCCAATCTCGGGTTGGGGGGGGGGGGGACTGGTTCCATACGTGTTTTTGTCAATGCTCCCCGAACCCCCCCCCACTGGAAATCGAAGGCAAATTGAGGCCTTCGGGTTGGGTTGGGGTGGTTTGGTGGGTGGTGATCCCCTGCCGACGGGCACATGGCCCTTCCAAGAATGAAGTACTGGCGCTCGTGGGTGAGCACGAAGCTTGCAAGCTGGTGCGGGCCGCAGGGAGCAGGCCTGACCGGCGCCGTGCAAGCGGCCCCAAGCGACCCAGACCTGGACACGTCGCCACTGCACGACAAACCGTCCTTCGGCAAAAGCCCACAAAGCGTTCATGCTGGAGCTCTGCGGACTTGCCGACGCGGTTGTATGCCACTATGTTGGCAATCTCGTTGCACAGACCACGTCGCCATGCTTGCTGCTCTCACCCGCATTGCGCCGGCATCTACTGCCGCGCGCATCTCGGCCTTGTACGACGAGTGCATGGACCCTGGGCCTGTCGCCGACAAGAGTAAGCTGCAACACGCTTTGAAAGTGCGGCGGTTGGAGCACGAGCAGCCGCGCTCAATCGGTGGCACCCCTTCTCGGAAGGTGCAGTTGCGTTAGCTGGAGCGTTTGATCAGCGAGGGTAAGCAGCTGCGGGTAGGCCTGGATATGGTGTCCTTCACCCTTCACCACCACCAACGACCAGAAACAACTTTTGCGATGGCCGAGCTGGAAGCCCCCTAGTGGATTGAAGCTACTACTCTTGACCAAGCTGCTCCACCAACAAGCGTCCTCGTCGGTGCTGCCCAGACTGGCAATTGCCGCGGTCGGGCCAGACAAAGCGACGCCAGGGGCAGAGTTAAAAACGCATGAATTATGCTATCCTCTGACGCGAGTGACTTCCGCCAGCACGACGAAGGCCGCAATTCCGCGGGCCACACTTCCGCGGGACCTGGGACCTCCAAGTCCCGGCCCTTCTTCCAGCGCGCCCTATAACCAGCAAACGCCCGCTCTGGCTCCCGACGCGCGAAGAGAGTGCAGCAACAAGTGCCACTTGGGAAACAAATGCCCCAACAAAGGCAAAAAAGAAGTCTCCAGGCGCCAAAGCAGGAAAAGGATGGGCACGGCGCTGGCAGCACGAGCTGTATACGGCCTGGCGTGATGAAGCAAGGCGCAGAGGCACGGCACTGGCAGCGCCTGCTGGCTGGTCGCCCCCCCGCCCCCTCACCCACACCCACCAAAACGGAACAGGAGGGACGACCGTCATCACCACCATCACAACCATCAGGCCCACACCATGCCTCCTCATCCCCCGAAGCAACAGCGGCGGCAGCATCACTCGCATGCTCCGCACAGCGCAGGAAATTCCTGCCGCGAGGACGGTGGCCCTGGTTTCTGACACCGCGTGTCCCGCTGAACCTTGACAGATCTCAACTGTCAGGGGTCCCCAAACTTCGTTCGGATTTCGCGCCGCGAACTGTGTTCTACGGATCCCCGGGCCTGAAGTGACTACCGAGAGGGTGCTCAACCTTCAACGCCTGCGCCTGGCACGAATAGATGGGACCAGAGGATCGCGCCGTATCGCCGGTCCATCGACGATCACATCGTCGATGCATGGGCGAAGTCGGCGATGCATCTGCGACGCCAGCGTCGAACATGATGGGCTCCACATCGCCCTGCATCCCCTGAACATCGGCGATGCGGCGCGACCCACCAGCCCCATTTACCCGCACTCCATCTGAAAAGCCTGGACTCGAGAAAGGGCGAACTTGCCGCGTCTGCCCGCTGGTTGGCGGCCTGGAAATTGGCAACACCAAGACAGGGGGCTGCCTCCACAGGTGGGAGATGATCCTAGACTTCGGTGTTGGTGGTAATGCTTCGGTCACCTTGGAAGCCAGAATATTACCACCATCACCGAGAACGGAATCTTCTTCCCTCGGTGGAGAACACCGCCGATACTGGTGTTGGTGTCAACCTCAAGGCCTGCGAGCTGGCGCTCGCGGGCGCCTGAGCCACTCCACGTCGAAGAGCCTGCCGAAGCCATTGAAGGGGTCCGCGCTCCGGACGCGCGGCTTCCCGACCGGGCTGCGCATGCAGGCGTAGCCCTCCGCGCCACGGGAGGGCAAGGAAGAGCAGCGGCGGCAGCAGCAGGAGCGACCTGGACATCTGCCGCGGTGAACACCCCCGACGCTATGAAAGGGCCCACAAACACAAAAAAAAAAAAAAAAAAAAAAAAAAATACACACAAATGACCGGATGCCCCATATTTTCCCACATTTTCTGGGTTTTCGTCTTCCCCCCCACTTCCCATCTTTTCCCATGTTTTCCTGGGGACCCACGATTGATTGTGTCTGTGTTTATTCCCACTCCTGACACTGGGCCCCCGAGATGGGGTCGGAGCAGCTGGGGCCGGAAGCTCGCGCCGCATCGCCGATGCATCACCGATGCACCGGCGACGTCGGCGATGCATCGGCGACGCCGCGTGGAAGCAATCGGGCCCCACATCGAACAGCATCGCCGATGCATCGGCGACGCGGCGCGACCCTCTGGCCTAATCCGCGTCGACCTCAGGTCACGGCGCTAGAAATCCGGAGAGGTGGAGTGATGGGCCTGTTTCCCACCACCACCACCACCATGAGTTGGAGGGGGAAGGAGGAGGACGAAGAGATGGAGGAGGAGGAGGAGGAGGAGGAGGAGGAGGAGGAGGAGGAGGAGGAGGAGGAGGAGGAGGAGGAGGAGAGGGGGAGGAGGAGGACCCCCTCCCCCTCCAACTTATGGTGGTGGCGGAGAACGGGCCCATCATCAGCGGAGGGGCGCGAGGAAAGGCCCAAGGATCACCGGCCGGGCGAGCCAAGAGGGGGCCCTTAGCGGGGGGGGGCGGCAATTGCAAGCTTCAAAGGTCGGCCGCGCCGCAGCCAGCAGCGCGGAGAACGACGGGGCCCGACGACTGAGGAACCGACCGAACGGCCACGGAAACGGCTCGCGCACTGCAAGGTGAAGCCCCAGAAGATGGGCAAAGCGAGACGGCGACACGAAGAAGGGAGGAGGAGGAGGAGGACCAGTGCAAACCCAAGAGTCATCATCGAGATTGCAATACACCCTCCCTCCTAGCCCCATCATAGGCTCCAAAACACCAGAACACCATTCCTGGGACATCAAGACCGGTTGACGATCCTGAATCGCACCAAAGCGCCATTCCTGGGACTTCAACACCGCGGATCAACGGGATTGCTGCGCCCTGACATTGCGACATCTTACCAACATACTATTCCTGGAACGTTGAACATGAGAATCCGTGGAACTGTTCCACACTCCTTGGGACAAATTAGTGCGGCGCTAACGCGAGAGCCACAGATTTGAAAAAAACAAGCACCATCGATCCGCGAAACCCTTGCAATTTCTGGACGAATGCGTGCGGCGCTAAGACTAAAGCCGCATATTGAAAAACAACCGCCATCGATCTCTGAAGCTCGTGCAACTTGTTGTTTTACGAATGTGCGCGGCGCCAAAGCGAGGGTCACGCATTAAAAACGGACCACCCTCCATTCGCGAAGCTCTCGCACTGGTGTAAAAACAAATGCGAAAACCACATTTGGAAAACGGACCGCCCAAAATCCGCGAAACAACTGCAACTGATTTCACGAATATACGCGGCGCAAAAACGAGAGCCATATTTTGAAAATTGCAGCCCTCCATCCACGAACTTCCTGCTACATGTTAACCCCAGGATCATAAATGGTGCTGAATATCAAGCGAAATGCGTGGCCCTCCCTTGCGACCGGCGTCGAGGCGCAACATAGAAGAATTAGCGGTAAGGAAAACGGATGGAAGAGAAAGTTCAAATCGAGCGCGCTGGAGGCGAGTATGAACGGCGACCCCCACACATGAAACCGTTATCGAACGCCTCTCCGAACACACGCACGCGGGATTTGCCCCGAAGCACTGTATCGGGTTGGGGAAACGCACGCGGACACCGCCACTGGGGCCTTATGCGGGCCCCCAGTGTACCGGGCCACGAAAAACTGTACTGGGTGGGGGAAACGCATGCGAACCATGCCACTAGGGTTTTCGGTGGAGCCCCGGATGGGGCCACGAAGCGTGCGACGGGTGTGCCAAAGTGGCGGGGGGGGGCATGCGAACGCGGCCACCGGGCCTTCGGTGGAGTTCCCTACGGGCCCACGAGACGTGCGGGGCGCGTGCCAAAGTGGAGGGGGTGCGGCATGCGAACGCAGCCACGGGAACCTTCAGTAGAACTGCATACGGGGCCACGAAACGTGCGAAAGGGCGTGTCAAAATGCACGGGGGGCGGCACGCGAACGCACCCAATGGTGCCTTCGGTGAAACTCCCCATGGCGCAACGAAACATGCGAAGGGCGTGCCAAAGTGATCTGCGAAACTGCCGCGCACACTTTCGAAGGCTGCTGGGGAGTCCCATGCCGAGGTCCCGACTTCCACGGCCTGACAGGGCCGCACCATGCACCGCAGTGTAATTATCGACGCCGGCTGCAGGGATGAGAAGAAAATTGACGACCGTTGGCTGCATCTCTACGCTATGTTCCCCAGAGCGACGACAGTGGACAACCCCTTGATGATGCGCGACCCCGGCCTGGATTTCGTGGCCCGCGGGCCGCCCGCAGACCTGGCGGCGCGCTTGCGAGCGCTTAGCTCCCGCATTGAAAGATGCAGGGAGGAGGCAGAGAAGCTGGCGGGCGGGCTACGCCTCGCCCGCTTCTTGCACTAGCTATGAGCAGGCTCGCTAATGTCAAGCGCCGCGGCGACATGGCACAGGCAACGCTGCATCTTCAGCGGACTACCGACAAAATCAACACCATCCTGTCTCTTCCCGCCGCTTTCGTCGTCGCCCACGTCCGCCATTTCACCTTCTCTCTGCTGCTGCAGCGCTGACAGTTCGGCCCCGTTCGCGTCCTTCTCCTGAACTTCGATCCCGCCCCCATGTCCTCTTCGAGTCTGGGCCTTCACTCCTCGTCCTCCGATCGTTGTCCTGTGAGTCGTGCCGCGTGCGCGCATCACACGTAGCATGCTCACCATACGACGGCACCTACACGGCCATTGTAAATGCAAGTTTGGACCAACTCTTCTTGTCCCTTGGTGCAAATGGGTCGGGTACGTCACAGGGTCACGTGTTGTCTTCTTATTCGTCGTTTACTGAGTGTGCAAATGTTAAAATTGATAGTAGTCGCCTTAGTATGACTAGCATGTGTACTACCATGTTGAATGGTAATATGAATGATTATCTTATTGATATACATATGTTTGTTATGAGTTGATTTATTCGCAGTGGTACAACTAATTGCGTGATTACTCGTATTACGCGTTTCATTAATATGAGTATGCGTACTCGTGTGATCAGTTATAGTCCTCACATGTCCCCTCTTATGATTATCAAGATACGTATGAATAGTAATAGTATTAATGCTCAACTTATTACTCGTCAGAGTAGCATTATGAATAACATTCGTAATAGTATTACGATCACTATTATTATGTATTGTTACTATACAGTGTTATTAATGGTACTCCTCCTCCTCCACCTCCACCCCCTCCTCCTCCACCCCCTCCTCCTCCTCCTCTTCCTCCTCCTCTTCCTCCTCCTCCTCCTCCTCCGCCTCCTCCTCCTCTTCCTCCTCCCACGTCCCATCCACCAGGCTCGGTTCGTTGAATACAGCACTGTGGTCTCCGTTCTTTTCCCGCCTTCTCACCTCCTCTCAACTCTCGCACTTGCCCGTTACCCTGCCTCCTATCTCGTCGTCCTGCTTGGATGTTCGGCGGGGGGGCTGCGATCTGCGAAACTCTCGCTACGTTCGAGGGTTGCTGGGGTGTCGCACGGAGCGAGACACCACCCAGACTCTGATTAAACCTCGCCGTCCTTGGGGGGCTGCGATATGCGAAACTGTCGCCATGTTCGAGGGCCGCTGGCGAGTTCAGCACAGCGAGGCACTACCCAGACTCTGATTGAACCTCGCCGTCCCTGGAGGGGCTGCGATCGGCGAAACTGTCGCCACTTTCGAGGGCTATTGTGGGGTTCAGCACAGCGAGGCACCACCCAGACTCAGAGAAGACCTCGCCATCCCTGGGGGGCTGCGATCTGCGAAAGTGTCGCCACGTTGGAGGCTCGCCGGGGGGTCCAGCGGAGTGAGGCATCACCCACACTCTCACTAGACCTCGCCATCCTCAGGGAGCTGCGATTTGCGAAAGTATCGCCACTTTCGAATGCCGCTGGGGGGTCTGGCGGGGCGCTGTCGCGGGCCTCCCGCAGACGTGGCGGCGCGCCTCCTAGTGCAGGAAAGAAGCACGTAAGCTTTCGGGCGAGCTAGGCCTAGCTCATTTCTTGCACTAGCTATAAGCAGGTTAAACAATTCTGCCGAGCGCCGCGGCGACATGGCGCAAGCAACGCTGCATCTTTTACGTACTACCGACGCTCTTGGGTCTCCTCCCGTCACTTTCGTCGTCGTCCTTCGCCCCCTGCCACCTTCCCTCAGCTGCTGCCCAGCTGACGGTTCGGCCCCCCACGCGTCCTTTTCTTGCCCGTTGTTCCCGCCCCCATGTCCTCCTCAAGCCTGGGCCCTCGCTCATCGTCCTTCTGCTGTTGTCCTATGAACCGTGCCACGTGAACGCATCCCATGTAGCTTGCACAAAAGATAACGGCGCCTGCTCTGTTATTGTCTGGGCAAGTTTGGGCAAATTCCTCTTGTCAGTTGATGCCAGTGGGTTGGGTACGTCACAGGGTAGTGTTCTGTCCTCCCACTCCTCCCCATCTTCACCTCTTACCCTGACCAAGCCTGGAAGGCGTCGGTGCGGTTCACCGAGAAGACCAGCACCACCGCGGAGGCGGTTCGGAAGGCCTCCCGGCTGTGATGCGGCGGCGGAGGCGGGAGGAGCAACCGAGCAGGAGCGGGGAAGGAGGGAGGGAGGGAGGGAGGGAAGAGGAGGAGGGAGGAGCTCCAGGAGCGAGGGAGGGAGGGAGGGAGCAGAGGGAGCAGAGGGAGGGAGTAGGAGGAGGAGCCCGTCGTGCGCGGCACCCGCCTCACCCTCCGTGGCCACGCTGGCTCAAGAGAGGGGGGGGGGAAGCGAAGGGAGGGCTTTGGCTGGGGCGGAAGGACGCGGAGGAGGCGGCGGAGAGGGATCCGCTCTGCGATGCGCGGTTGTCATGGGCCTGCTGCCCTGCTCGTGTCGCCAGGTCCCGACACATGGGTCGGGTGGGGTCCGAGCGCGCGGGCAGGCCGCGCGCGCGCCCCAGAGGCGGGAACGGCGGCCGACAAAAGATGCAGCAGTACAGTGGGGGCGTTGACCTAAGGAACCCTAGATAAGGAACGAGGCCCCTTTTGTTCCATGAATTAAACTTCAACTTCCCATCGAAAACGTAAAGAAAGCCTGAGGCAAGGTGTGAAACATTTAAGGAACACCGAGCCCCTCCCCAACGAAAAGCGTTCCTTCTTCAAGGCCCCGACTGTACACACCCCGCTAAATCCGCCACCGTGCCCTTTAGGCACGAGTTGGAGTGCCCTCAGGTCGCTTGCTCAGTCCCCTGGAGCCTCAGCCCCCAACCCGGAAGATTCTTTGAAGGGCCTGGACCCCAGATTCTCGAATCTCGCGGGGCTTGTCGCGTCGTTCCCGGGACTTGTCGCGTGACTCGGTCGGGCCAAGGGCCTCAAGACAGGCCGAGAGTGCCCCAAGAGACCCCCAAGAGAGGGCCCCGAATCGCTGAACGATCGGTCCAAGACGCCCCAGATGGCCTCTAGTCGGCGGAAAAGCCCCCAAGACGTCCCAAGAAGCCGCCAAGAGCCTTCCCAAGAGGGCCCCGAGAGGCCAAAAGCATTGAGACGCCTTTGGTTTCTCAAGTGGTTTCTGGGTTCTCCACTTTTCGCTTCCGACTCTCCAAGACGTCCCGAAAGGCCTAAAAAGACCGCCCCATGACGGGCCTAGAGGTCCCCCAAGGGCCCCAAGACGGCCCAAGAACTCCCCAAGACAGCCCAAGAGGCGCCCAAGTCGGCCACCGAGGGACCCAAGACAGCTCGAAGAGGGACCGAAGGGGGAGAATACGAACCGAAAAGCCGAGCCTTCCGCCCCAAGAGGCGCCCGGGAAGCCCCAAGAAGCCTCTAAGAAGCCCCAAGACGCCCCCAAGAGCCCCCCACCGGGCCCCAAGAGGCCCCCGTGAGGCCCACGAGAGGCCCAAGAGACGCCAATTAGCCTGGCGAAGGACCCAATCATACGCAGTTGTGAATACCGCAATTGTGAATATATTTTTCTGTGGCGCTCCCTATGGAGTCACGAACCGTATGAGGGGTGAGCCGAATTGTGTGATAGGGTACACAACACGAACGAAAACGATAGGTCTGAGTGTGAAAGCTTGAGCGCGGGCGAGTCTAAGCGCGAGTGAGTCTGATTCTGAACGAATATGCGTGCGATTGATTATATTTGCATGACTGCGAGCATGGAGTCGCCGAATGTAAATGCATACGACTGTGAATGGTTTGGGCCTGCCTGACTCTGAGAACTCGTAACGCTGAGCGTAGCCTCCGCAAAGAGTTTCCCTGGGAACCCCGACGGCAGAGCCCGCGCGCCGCGACGCCCATGTCGGCACGCCCAACACGAGGCTCGCGCCCGCTTCCTCCCCTTCATTTCCTTCCTCTTTGCCCGCGCACTCCAAAGTTCAAGGCTGCGGGCGCCGCGCTACGCGGAGCCCCCGCGACGCGCGCAGGTCGGACGTCGACGACGGAGGACGACGACGAAGAAATCGGCCCTAGGAAGGCTGTCGGAACCACCAGCTCCCTATGGGGCCACGAAACGTGTGAGATGTGTGCCGAATTGGGTGTGCGGGACGCATGCGGGCGGCGGCAATGGGGCCTTCGGTGCAGCTCTCTATGGGGCCACGGAACGTGTGAGGGATGTGCCGAATTGGGTGTGCGGGACGCATGCGGGCGGCGGCACTGGGGCCTTCGGTGGCCGAACTGGGTGTGCGGGACGCATGCGGGCGGCGGCACTGGGGCCTTCGGTGGAGCTCCCTATGGGACCACGGAACGTGTGAGATGTGTGCCGAATCGGGTGTGCAGGACGCATGCGGGCGGTGGCACTGGGGCCTTCGGTGAAGCTCCCTATGGGGCCACGAAACGTGTGGGATGTGTGCCGAATTGGGTGTGCGGGACGCATGCGGGCGGCGGCACTGGGGCCTTCGGTGCAGCTCCCTATGGGGCCACGAAACGTGTGAGGGGTGTGCCGAAGCTGATGACGATGATGGTTTCGATGATGGCGATGATGATGGTGATGAGGATGATAGTGACGATGATGATGGTGATGACGATGATGAGGACGACGACGATCACGGTGACGATGACGATGACGATGACGATGACGATGACGATGACGATGATGATGATGATGATGATGATGATGATGATGATGATGATGATGATGATCATGATGATGATGATGATGATGATGATGATGATGATGATGATGATGATGATGATGATGATGATGATGATGATGATGATGATGATGACGATGATGATGGCGGGAGGGAGGAGGGGCAGGAGGAGAGGAGGAGGAGTGAGGACGCGGGGCGCTGTCTCTTCAAAACAAGGACCCAACACCACAGGATGGTTGGGAAAAACAGCCAACAGGGGCCCCAAAAGTGCCACCAGGATGCCCCCAAGAGGCCTCAGACCCACAACCCAGGCACGGTGGCGGGATGGGCCGAAGGCCATTATCCGCCGCCCCCTGCTTGCAGGGGTGCACGGCGTGCTGGACGTTTCAGGTTTTGGTTTTGGTTCTTTTTCCAAAAGAACTTCCCAGTGGGCTCCGGCAGAACCCGCCGGCCACCCGGAATTTCCCCAAACGTGCTCAACGACCGCAAAAAATCCTCCAAGAACGGCCGTTTCGCTCGGGACATCCTCAAAAAATCGCGAAGATGGCCCAAGATGGCCTCCAAGTCCGCCCGAGATGGTCCAAGACGGCCTCCAAAACGGCCCAAGAGAGTCCAAGACGGCCCAAGACGGCCCAAGAGGCCCCCCAGAGGCCTCCCAGACGGCCCAAGAGGCCTCCAAGAGGTCCTCCAGGAGAGTCCGAAGAGGCCAAAATCATTGATTTTCCCTTGGTTTTTGAAGGATTTTGGCATTTGCGCCTTTTCGGCTCTCCGACGGCTCAAGACGGCCCAAGAAGCCCCCAAGATCGCCCAAGAGGCCCCCAAGAGAGCCCCATGATGGCCCAAGTGGCCTCCAAGATGGCCCCTAGAGGGCCCCAAGAGGGCCCAAGAGGCCTCCAACACGCCCAAGATGGCCTCCAAGACGCCCAAGATGGCCTCCAAGACGGCCCTGGAGCATTCCAAGCGGGCCCCAAGTCGGCCCATAGAGGCCCCCCAAACGGCTTCCGACGGCTTCAGACGTGCCAGGAACCCACCAAGATGGCCGAAGTTGGCTCGAAGCTGGCCCGAGACGGCCCAAAAAGCCCCAAAGATCGCCCAAAGCTTGCCCAAGAGGCCTCCAAGACGGCCAAGATGACCTTCAAGATGCCCACGTGTTCCCCGAAGGCTTTCCAAACCGATTCGGGGAACACGTGGTCCGATAGCTTGGCAGGTCTGGCCTCAACGTTCGGCCACATAGGCGCTTCCAAAAAGGCAGGGGGCGGCGGTGATTCGCCGTAGGCGTCTTCGATATCCGCCGCCCCCTGTCGCTTCAGCAAAGGGGTGCCCGGCGTGCTTGATGTTTCAGGTTTTGGTTTTGGTTCTTTTTCTAAAAGAACTCCCCAGTGGGCTTCGGCCCGTCCCGCCGGCCACCCGCAAGTTTCCGAAAATCCATCTGTCAATGCCTTTGTTGCCCCAACTTGGCCCAAGATGGCCTCCAAGACGGCCAAGATGGCCCAAGATGGCCTCCAAGATGCTTCCAAGACGGCCAAGATGGCCTCCAAAACGGGTAAGATGGCTCCAAGATGCACCCAAGACGGCCCAAGATGGCCTCAAGATGGTCTAAGACGGCCCAAAAGGCCCGCAAAAGGCCTCCAAGACGGCCCAAGAGCCCTCCAAGACGCCCTCCAGGAAGGCCCGAATAGGTTAAAATCATTGATTTTCCTTAGGTTGTTCAAGGATTTTGGCATGTTCTTCTTTTCAGCTCTCCGACGGCCCAAGACGGCCCAAGAGGTCCCCAACATCGCCCCAACAGCACCCAAGAGGCCTCCAAGATGGCCCCATGACGGCCCAAGAGGCCCCCAAGAAGGCCCCAAGAGGGCCTCAAGACGGCCCAAGAGGCCTCCAAGACGCCCAAGATGGCCTCCAAGACGGCCAAGATGGCCCAAGATGGCCTCCAAGATGCCTCCAAGACGGCCAAGATGGCCTCCAAGACGGGTAAGATGGCTCCAAGATGCACCCAAGACGGTCCAAGATGGCCTCAAGATGGTCTCAGACGGCCCAAAAGGCCGGCAAAAGGCCTCCAAGACGGCCCAAGAGCCCTCCAAGACGCCCTCCAGGAAGGCCCGAATAGGTTCAAATCATTGATTTTCCTTAGGTTGTTCAAGGATTTTGGCATGTTCTTCTTTTCAGCTCTCCATTCCCCCCCTTCCTATCTCTCCTCTCCTCCCCGTCCTCCCCCACGTGTTCCCCGAAGGCTGTAAAGACCGATTCGGGGAACATATGGCCCAATAACTTGGCAGACCTCTGGCCACAGCAGTCGGCCGCATCGGCGCTTCCGAAAGGGCAGGGGGCGGCGGTGATTCGCCGTAGGCGTCTTCGATCCGCCGCCCCCCTGTCGATTCATCGCAGGGGTGCCTGGCGTGCCAGACTATTACGGTTTTGGTTCTGGTTCTTTTTCCAAAAGAACTCTCCCAGTGGGTTTCGGCCCGTCCCGCCAGGGT